AAGGCCACGCCCTCTTGTGGCTGCTGTGGGTAAGGACTGCTGTGCTGGGCTCCTGTGTAAGTCAGTACTCCTGCTGGGTGGGCTTTGTAAGAATGTCTCTCGGCCTTGCTGCACTTCATTGCTAATGCAGACCATTGCCGGGTTCTTGATGACTGCAGGATGCAGCTCTTTGGTCACATGTCCTGGGTGAGACCAGGTGCCAGCCCTACACTAAGCACGTACATTTTCTTACTTGATGCCCACAACAACCCTGGGAGAAGACAATGTTACTGTTTCCCCATTTGAGAGATGAAGAAACTGAGGCTCAGAGAGATTATGCTCTTTGCCCCGGGTTTCACAGGCAGAACCTGAGCCCCAGCCTGATTTAACACCTTCCCTCTTAGCCCCTAGACTTACGCAGCATCTCATGATGACCCACTTTGGCAAGTGAACTGGGATTTGGTGGATGAAGTATGTACATGAAACTGTGGCCGTCCCCAGGCATTTAGAGTCTGCCCGACTGGGAGGCTGAGTGGGTGCTGCGAGCTGAGGAGAGCAACTTAGGGGACTGGAGAGGGCCCTCTGGCATTTGTGGCAGCGTGACTCCACAAGAGTCATTCTCTTGCCTGAGTCTCAGTTTTCTTATTGTAAAATAGGAGTGAGGTCAATATGGATTAACAAAATACTAAAATAAATAATGCACAGGTAAAATCCATTGCTCACTGAGAGCACAGAGAACCTGATCTCCCCAACCCCAACTGCACTGCCTTTGTCTCCCACTCCACCTGGCTGATGCCTGGCATTCGCTGCTCAGTAGGTATCTGTTAAGTGAATAGGTAGACACAGTGTAACCCCTGTTGTTGTCTGAGTTACACTGTTCTAAAGCAGTGCAGAAAACAGAAAGGATGTGCCAGAGGTGAGAAGGGAAATTCATAGATGTTGAGGATGGGAGTTGAGTTCAGCTTCGCAGGGGCAGGAGCTCTCTGAAGGAGGGAGAGAGACAGGCAGATGCCCAGAGGAACCTAGTATCGATTAGACTGGCAGCACTTTTCAGCCTGGGCTAGGCCCTGGACCAGCTGCTTAACCTTTATCTGGTTTCATCCTCATACAATTCTATAAGATATTGTGGACTCTATTTCCAGATAAGGACACTGCCACTCAGAGAGATCAAGTGACTTAGCCAAGGTCATGCAGCTCTTAAATGATAACATTTGGGTTTGAAGCCAGAGATTTCTGGCTTCCAACCACGTGTTTTTAATGTGCCTATCCCTGAAAATCTCAGTGTCATAACCGCCAGGGTTTTTTTCTCACGTTACATATTCACTCTGTAGTCTGCCTGATGTGGAAGACTATTTCTGCAACATTGTTTGCCTCAGGCTTTGGGAAAACAGGACAAACCATGTGTGGGGTCTTAAAGGTTCTGTTTGGAGCTGACATGTGTCACAACCTCTCCTTTTCATTAGCCAGAAAAAATGTCCCATGGTGAATGCTGACATTAGAAAGATGGGGAAATATAATTTGTCCCCAGGAGAAAGAACAAAAATCATAACTAATAATAGACTCGATCACAAGTCTTCACCCTCTTGTAACACATACTTGCTTTCCTTTCCCTCCTGTATTTATCTTTCCACAGTGAGACACAGACACCCCAGAGTCGTGCGCAATCATGGTACCAGGCTCAAAGTCCTGGATCTTTCCATTGCCTCTTTACTGAGTCAAGATGTAACTTCTCTTCATCCAGAGACTTGCAAATAAACCAACAAAAAATTATATGTTCCCCATATACATACTCAAAATAGAGGGATAGATCGGAGACAGGATAACTGTAACAAATACTTCTACAACAGCCACTCGTCCTTAAAAGTTCTGAAATCATCCTGGACACAAGTTACAAGGGGCCCCGAAGGTGGAGACAGTCCTTGATTAGGCTGTGAGCCCGCCTCCTATGGGTGGTTCTCTAATCATTTTCCTCCATGACCTTGGACTTCAGGCTCTGAGAGGTCCTGCCTTTTCTTTCTTATTGTTCTTATTGGTACTATCTGAGGAGGACATCAAGAAATTGTCCTCCTCGTGGGTAGCTTTTTCAGCCTGCCTTCTTCCCATAGAAGGCTGGGGTGCCAGGATAGTCTGGGGGTCACTTAGTCTGTAGTAGCTGCCATGTCCCCTAGCCATGCTCGGGGCTTTTTGGCTCTGTGTTTCTCTGTAGTGCTGTTAACTTTTATATCTGGCTCAGAGCTGTGCCATAGCTGCTCAAAGTGATCTCCTAGCCGTGTCTGTCTCCAGGCTTCACTGCTGCCTCGCTCTTCCTACGCTTCTGTGAGAGCAGCACGTTGTCCGTCTCCTTTCCCTGTCCCATTCTTTCCATCTGGGAAGAACCATTTACTGAACCTCATCATGACTGGTCCTTGCTACCGATTGAGTTTATTTTCCTTTTACAGTTTGCTCTGGGTATAACTCAATACTGTATAATTCACCCATTATAAGTGTGTAAGTCAATGATTTCCGTGTATTTAGTAATTTTGTGAATCACTACAATCCAGTTTTCGAGCTTCCCATCACCCCAGAATTTCCCTCATGCTCATTTACAGTCAATCCTTATTCCCATCCTTTGTCCTAGACAATTACCGATCTTCCTAGCTCTATAAAATAGCCTTTTTTAGACATTTCATATAAATTGAATCATGGAATGTAGTCTTTTGTATCTGTTTTTCCACTTAGGATGGTATTTTTGAGATTCATTGGAAGATATATTGATTCATTAGGATTCATACAATTCATAGAACACATGTTGTAGCATTCAATTCCTTGGAATTGCTCAATAATGTTTCATTGTATGTATATATATACTGTATTTGTTTATCCATTCAACAGTTGGTGGACATTTAGATTGTTCCAAGTTTGAGGCCATTATAAATAAGAATGCTATAAACATTTGAATATATGTCCTTGTGTGGGTTTTTTTTTTTTTGAGACAGGATCAAGCTATGTAATTCAGGCTGGTCTTGAACTCACTGTGTAGCTCAGCCTGGCCTCGAACCTGTGACAGTCCTGCCTCAGCCTCCTAAGTGCTGGGATTACAGTGTGTGCCACCATGCCCAGGTCATGTTTTTATTTCTCTTGGGAGATCTCTAGGAGTGGGATTTGTAGAATGTATGATACATTTATGTTGAATTTTTGAAGAAACTGTCAATTTTTCATAAAACTATATCATTTTACATTCTCACTAGCAGAGAATCAGAGTTCTCATTTTTCAACACCACAAAGCTAAATTTTAACCTGAATTTGTTTTTGAACGTTTTTCAGCTTTCTTTTATTGCATAGCTATGAGAATAATGTGGCTCTTCCAACTTAAGTCCTTAAATTTTCAGACTCTTCCTATAATTTTTATTTCTTCTAAAATCATCAGAGTTTGGTCTGGTGAGGTATACCGATAATCCTAGCACTCAGGAGGCTGATATAGGAGGGTCATTGTGAGTTCAAGGCGGGCCTGGGCTACATAGTGGGTTAAGGACCAGCTTAAACTACACAGGGAGACCCTGTCTCAAAAAAAAAAAAAATTGTCAAATTCTTTTCTTTCCTTTTTCTTTGTGGTGGTGGTGAGGATTGAACCCAAGACCTTGTACAATGCTAGGCAAGTGCTCTACTACTGAGCTACATCCTCATCCCTTGTGCAATTCTTTTATGAGCCCGTTCCTTTTTTTAGGACCTTGTTGAAACATAGCTAATAGCAACTGGCATGCTGTTATTATTCTGACTTTCACTCGCTTCACTTCAAGCCTTAAGCTCATTCAGTTCATCATCTGCCTTAGAAGTTAACGCAGGCCACAGTCTGCCCACATGTGCTTCATCCTGTACAGCATGCCCACCCAGCCTTTATAACCACTTCCTGGACATATACCCCCAGGCACAATGAGTGGATTTTGGTTATACTAGCACACCACTTCAGATAGCAATTTTTGTGTTAGGATAAAGAAGTTGTACTCTAGTTTTAAATGCCTATGAACCTTTTTTTATCTCCCTTTAGTCATGCTACATGTTTCGCCAGCTTTCTGTTACTATGACAAACATCTGGGGTAATCAAGTTGTAAAGAGAAAAGGGTTCTTCTGGCTTACATCTTTTGAGGTTCTGGTCCATGGTCATTGGCCCCATGGCTCTGGGCCTGTACCCTGGTGGGAGCAAAACTTCTCAACCCCTTGCCAGGGAACAAAGGGAAAGAGGTGGCCCGGCTCCCACAGTCTCTCCAAGGGCACCTCCCCTCAGTGACCCAAGGACCTCTCACAAGGCCTCACCTTCTAAAGGCTGTATCACTTCCTACCAGCACCACACTGGGGCTCAAGCCTTTAATACATGGCTCTTTGGGGGACACTTGTCCAAACCAGAGCACCACACATCCCTCCTGATGAGCTGTGCCTGCACTCCACATCATCTGTACCCTGGGTTCCGGGGAGCTTGAATTGACCCTGTCTAGAACATTGCGTGTCTTCTGGGAAAGGGAAAGGAGACATAGTGAATCATGCACTAGCTCCTTGGACTTCCTCTCACACTGAGTTAGTCACCTCGGGTTGTGTGGCCAACCCTGACATCAATGGGACAGAGAAATACAATCTCCTCCAGGGGAGGGCAGCACATATTATGAATAGTAGTATAACCAATGACATTATGCTTTTTCTTTTTTATCCTGGGGGCCTGAGAAGAAAGAAACAGCTCTTTATGTGGTGGTTTTTCCCACAGCTTCCTAGAGCTAGGGTAAGGCAGGGGCCTTTCAAAATACCTTAAAGACCGGGGATTTAAATGCATGTGGTGATTGGCTCCTAGCCCATGGCTTTGATGTGCATAATTATTATCTGCCATTCCTCTCTCTCTGACAGTCCTATCACTTAGGCCCGGGGAGAAACTGGAGTGAAGGGCCTGTATTTTCTAGAGTTTGTTCCCCAGTACCCAGTGCCCTGTAGGACATTAGTAAACCCATTTTTCTTGACCTCCAGCTTGAGTTGACCCAATTGTGTTTTTTCCTTTCTAGCTGTGTTCTGGGGGGATATTGCTCTGGATGAAGATGATCTGAAGCTGTTCCACATCGACAAGGCCCAAGACAGGACCAAGCCATCAGGGCAGGAAATGGGACATAGCACTGGTTAGTACTGATCTTCTTCTCCTGTCCTGGATGGGAGGGTGAGGACTCCAGCAGGGATAGGTGGGGACCAGAATCTTTGGCGTTTGACTTGAATGTCCAGTGCTCATCTGGCTGTGGAAAACAAGGGACTTAATCCCCATCCTTTCTCCTAGAAAGGTGGAGCTGGGACCTCCAAGTTAGCTGATCCTTCTAAGAAAATCTCCACTTGCCTCTTCGTTGGAGGGCTCGAGTTGGATCCGAGTGCTGTTCTTAGGAATCTAGCATGGGTCCTGCTGGCCCAGACTGGAGAGAATTCCTCGATGGGCTGGCTTTGGGGTACCTGTGATGATATTAACAATGACCAGATTTTGGCAGTATTTGCCCATGGGGCATTGTGCACTTGTGTGGGACAAACAGGTGAGAGCCCCCTGACGGTGAGACTTACTCAAGCCTTTAGACTTTGGTTACCTCTGTCTCCTTCTCCCTTCTTGCTGCCACCGTTGAAGTGAGTAGTAATGACACTGGTATCCTGAGTTCTCCTCAGTTTCCTGCTCCCTGGGCTCAATGACTTCAGCTTTGTGTTTCATCATCTTTGGAAGCAGTCTGTGGAGTTGAGTATGGTAGCTGATGTCCCTATGTGGCAGATGTAGCTTGTTATCCGGTGACTGAGACTCACAGGCGCTGACTATCCACGACTCTTCTTCCGGCCCTCCCTTTCTCTGGAAGCTTTTAGGCACCTACCATGGGCCATGTCCAGCGCTGGTGCAAGAAGGAAGATGATATAACCCCTTTCTCCTAGGAAACGTTTTCATTAGGCAGACTGGTCTTAGATCTGATCAAGTTCTCTAACATCTGCAAAGTTCAGTTTTTCTATCTGTGAAATAGAGATGAAACCAACTCTCACCACAGAGATTTGCGAGATTGACTTCAAAGATAACAGGCTAGCCCAGTGCCTGCCATAAGGTCTCACAAGATGACAGGTATTTCATTCAGAAACTCTCATGGCAAGTGAGTAATGAATCAAGAGCAGTGGAAGAGAACAGGGCAAGAGGAGAAGCCTGCCAGGCCTCTTGTGACTGCAGTGTGTATGATGAGTAGGAGTCCTGAGTAGGAGAAAGGACCCTTCAGGTGGAGGGGAAGCCAGGAGCAAAGGCGGGGAGTGTGAGAGCAGCTCTCTATTCAGGGGACAGAAGTGAGGTGTGGGTCACTGGAGGGAGACCGTTAGAGGTGGGCTATGGTGAGGACGCATTCGGAGAAGATGGCTGGGGCAAGCAGTGAAGTACATGGTCCTGAGCTAGTGAGCTCGGGCATTACCTGGGGGCTGCAGGGGTCCTGCCCAAGTTTCTCACGTAGGACGTGACTTGCTCAGGTTGGACTTGGTGTGCCTTGGTGGAGTTCCCTGTCCTGCTGCTCTTGGTAGCCTTCCAGCTGTCCTGAGGATGCTGGGTTCATGGCTGAGTGCTTGGGAAGCCCCAACACATTGAACACTGCTGGTGACAGGGGCAGGGCGTATCAGGCAACGCCTATCCCAGCTGCTAATGCAAGCAGGAACATCCTGGAAGCCTGGTGGGAGAGGGTGGGAGTGTGCCCAGTCAGGAGTGACTCTCAGTGCTTCTAAGGAACACGAGCAGCTGGAGCCGCTGGGCTCCAAAGCTCCCCATGGGGCTTGCTGGATGAGGAGCTGAGGCTTTCAGGAAGTCAGGGGGGCCATGGCCAGTGGTTGCAGGGAGGGAGGAAGGAGCCATCAGGACATGTCAAGAAAGATGTCAGAACATCTTTGTGGGGCTGATCCTGACTAACATTCTTAGGATTTGTGAGGCCTCTCCTGTGTGATTTGAAAAATCCACTTGACTTTTGAATTAACTTTTCAGTTACTTTTCATAACAGGATATCCGTAGCTTTAATTGAGCTCCAACATCAGGAATCATCTCTTCTTTTTTTTTTTTTTTTTTT